TATCAGAATTATATAAAATATAATATATTATTATGTTATTTTATTATTATATATATATCAAAATATATATCTTGTATTAATAACTTGTCATGCTATGTTTTGTAATTGATATTAATCTCTTATTTCAAATAATCGCAAAAATTAATTTAGAATATTTTATATTATATAAACTATTATTTCCATGTCCATACACATACAGAGTAAAATGGCAATTCAAATGGCAATGTTAAATCACAACTGCATCTTGCAGAAAAAATAAATTAGTCTTATTTATATTATAAATAAAGTTTAACTTAAAATTTAATTTCAAGGATGCTTTGCAATAAAACAATAAACTGCGTGTATGTTTATAATTATGCATATAAAATTTTTAAAGTCTTCTATAAAAATTGATGCCACAAACAGATAGAACAGGCAATTATGTTAGCACTTATCTTTTGTGATCAAACAATTAATTATAAACAATCTGCGGAAATTATTACGGATGGTCTTTTTTTTTGCACAAATTGCAGTTGAATGAAAATAATAAAGCAATACACATGCGCAATATAATTTGTAATGTAATGAAAGATCGGATCTTGTTCGCTCGTAATTCAATCATCACAATGTCATTCGATACGCATTTTCTTAAAAAGTTAAACCAAAACTTTCTAGAATTTATATGAAATTAAACTATATTGAGCATTACAAAATATAAATAACTTATTAATAAGTATGTTACATTTTTATTAAAAATTATAATTTAGATTATGTATAATTTTAATTTAAAAACATATTAACATAAAAATATATATTAATATATGCAAATATGTATATTGTTAAGTTTTAAAAAAATGATAAAAATTGAAGATAACTGATGCTCTCTCCCATTCAGCAGAACTCATCAGTAAGACACAAAGTCACAAAAATTTATAATAATTTGTCGATTTATTTTTGCATTGTTTTGAACATTTATTTATTTGCTTTAATGCATTTTGCTGTACAGCGTAGCGTTAAATCAATAAGCCAAAAGAGTTGAGGCTTAACTCTTCAAGTCTAGCTGTTGCATGAAGAATAACCATAGTTAAAATATAATAGGTAAGTGTATAAAAACATAATTCGGCGAATTATAGAAAAATAAGTAAGACACAGGCAAAATCTCGATTTAATGCTTGCTCGATTCAGTACCTATCTTCACGGCAAATATATTTATCTGTAAAATATAATAATATAATTTTAATAATTAATATAAACGTATATATACACATATATACATCTCAAAATAAATAAATATATGTATGTATATGTGTATATATGTGTATGTGTATGTATGTATATATTATGATTGATATTAATTCCATGTTAAACAACCGCAAATTTAGTTTAGAATATTTTTTATTATATAAATTATTAGTTAGACATTAGTAATATGACGTATCGCAACTGCAACTCGCAGAATTTAAAAATTATTAGTCACATTTATACTGCAAACGAGTTTTAACCTAACCTTTAATTCTAATAATTTTTTAGAATAAAAAACAATAATTTGTGTACGTATGCGATATTGTCCATACTAAATGTTTAATGTCCACCAATAAAATTTTTCATCATAGCAGATAGAAAAGGAAATCATTATTCATCTTTTATCATCAGAGAACCAAATGTGAATAATCTAAGTAATCGTAAGACACATCGTAAGAAGAGTCACAAATGTTGTCTTTTGCCGTTATTGAGTACAAGTAGCGAGGCACGTGTAATCTTGTTTCGCAAGTTTAATAAAAATTCTTGTTTGTCCTGAATTTAATCGTCACAATATCACTCCATGCGCAAATGCGATATAAATGCGTCATATTTGATTTCTTGCGTAAGTTCCAAAATGCTAGTTTTTGCGAAATATTAGTGGAATTATTATTTTGATATGATATAAATTCCTGCTTTGAAAAAAAGAATCAACCTGTAGGAATGCAAGTTGAAGCTACTGTAACTGGACTACATGTTCTATATCTATATAAATAAATTTCAACATTTTAGACTTTAGACAATAAAATTTTGTTCTAAAATTTCAGATTTATTTAAAAAATTTATTAAAACAGATCTATCTTTTTAAATATACAAAGAATCTGCATATGTATATACCTACATATATATATATATATATATATCAAATAACCTGTTACTAAATAATTATATTTGATATGTGTATATTAATACTAGATATGGGACATAATTATAATATATGCCGTTCTTTCTTTTAATGTTATTTATTTTAATTTTATTTTTTTATTCTGACACGAATACTCAGAATATTTTATAAATAAGATACTTTTATATGCAAGAAAATAATTATTTATATATATAAGACAATATCCCTCCCCAAATCTTCATTTTAACAAATTTATACACTTGGATTAAATTTTATGAAATCGTTAATATATTATCGCTATTTGTTTATATGGTTGCATTTCTTTATTATTATATCATTTCTAAATAGTTCGGAAAATTAAGATAAAAAGAAGATACAACAATGGTTCTAAAAAAATAAAAAAATAAAATATGTTCAGAATTTATATAAGAGAATTTATATAAGATCAAATCATGTTACACACACATATTACATTTAAAATTTAAGATATAAAAAACACAACTTATTTTAACTAATAAGATTACTATATTATATAATAACATTACTATATTATTAAACGAAACAAACTTATGTATGATTTTCTTTTATTTTGACATATTAACACATATTAACGTACACAGATATTATTGTATTGTAACGTGTGTGACAATTTTTTAATGAGAACTAAAAGTTAGGTAATTAACGCTTTTTAATTCTTAACTCAACAGAACTCGTTAATATAATATAAAACAATAAAAATTTATAATAATTTCATTGATTCATTTCTTATTGTGTATTATCTTGAGTTACTTACTTGTCTTGATACATTTAACGGTACAGGAAAAATAATAATGGGCCAGATGACAGATTCAGATGTAACAACAGCATCAGGTACAATCGTAGCTTCCGCAATAAATTCGCTAGGAATACTAGCTATTCCTAGAGTCGAAACAAGTCCTAAAGTAAAGATAAAAGTAATGTTACTCTCATGTTTTATGATGTTGAAAATATAATTGCCACAATATAATTGCCAGATGTTTCGATCAGATTTAAATCTATAACTAGATTAAAAAGAGGAATATTAATAAAATATATATATCGTAAATAAAATATCCCTTAAGTTTCTTGAAAACTCTAATCGTAAATAAATGATTTTTAGTAAATAAAAGCAATAATTTTTACCCAGAAAAATTTAATAGATAATTATCGAGTTGTGTAATGAGCCATTAGCATCTGTCACAATGCTGTGTTATGAAATATAGAAAACTAATTAATTATTCGTTAATATATATATCTACCACTATCCGCCACGAATGTTTTTCACTGTTAATAAACATTTATTAAAAAGAAGTATATTATTAATAAATATATTTACACCACTTCTCTATATTACAAGTATTTTAATTAAATGACAAAGTTATAAATCACTCGGTAATGGCGTCGAAAATTAGTTAGGAATAATAAGATCCTATATAGAAAATAACTACAGATCATACTTGATAAATAGAAAATCTCAGAGAAATACAATTAATAAATTTAATATGTGTACGTATTAATGCAAATTATGGCAACAACAGCGAGATGCGAGCAAAATCTTGCTTTAACGCATATTTTTACGGAAAATATATATATTATCTTATGATAAAATATATATCTTTTAATAATAAATTTGGATATATATATAATTATATTATATGCCAAAGAGAAAGAGAAAGAGAGAGTATATTGTGCGTATATAATTTATATTAATGTTTTATTATTATACACGCCATATTGCAAATTGCTTTTAATATGTTTTTATTTTTGTGTTTTTATAAGGCAATTTTTTAATCTAGAATTTAGAAAATAATGAGAACCATTTCTTATATCAAATAAAAGAACGAATTTCCGCACGATTTTTTAAATATGATTATGTGTAAAGAAATGCATTATCCAAGTACAACACTAAAATATCATATTTATTTCCTTTAATCAATTTTATATTCAATGATAAACCTTACTTTATCTTGAGTTTTAAAAAGTAATGTGCAAATAAAACTTAATGTGCACAAACCTGTACAAAATAAAGTCTTAATAAATGTTAGAATTATCTGGATTAGATAACGTTTATGATGTCCAAATCACGACTTTTTAGTGTATAAATTAAGTCACTATGAAGATGTAATATCAAAATTCAAAAATTTTTGATCAGTATGCAGCAATGAATACTGTAAAATATATATTTCTGTTAGTTGCCGGTTTTGCGGTTGTCTCGATCTCCAATGTCATAGCTGTGCCATCAGGTAGTCGTGAAACTAACCATGAAGAGCTTTGGCCGAAAATAAAACTGGTATAAAGCTTTTATTTTTAATATATACAATTATATCTTTTATTTTTTTGATTTGTACTTTTAATTATAATTAATTGATAATTTCACATTATAAGCAATTTTGATATTTTGTTGTCAAAATTATAGATATCATAATTATAATATGTGTATATTAAATAATTCGTATGAACAGTATAAAACATTAACAGTAATTTTGTTATTTATTTGTGAGTAAGAGTTCTTATATAAAAAATTATTTTGTACATACAATATTTTAATAATAAAATATGTATTGTATATAACCGTAATATTTTTATATATGTATTTTAATATATACATTATCAGATAAAGTAAAAAATTAAATTTTATTTATTTTCTTATATTTTAGCAACCTCTTCTTCAGTTGTGTCTTGAAGTATATGAATTACTTGGGCCCTGGTTTCCAGGAGGCTAAAATGCAGTTAAAATGAGCTGTGGCACAAGAAGATTATGTTTATAAGAATTTATGGCACAATATATTCGGCAAACTTCAGTTATCGCACAAATGTATAGTAAATTATCTATATTGTAAAAAATTAACAAAATAATATTTTTGGTGTCGGGATACAAAATATAATATGCGATTATTGTTTTATTATCATACATCGAAATATATCTTGTATTAATAAATGTCAGTGCTATATATTAACGTTTATCTCGCAAAAATTAAAAATTGTTAGTTTCATTTACATTGCAACAGAGTTTTAATTTGACTTTTACTTAGCAGTAACATTTAACGTTACAGACAGATTGAACAAGCAATCATTAACATTCGGCTTTCATCTTTGGACAATCAATTATGAGTAATCTGCGGAGATGATTTCTTTTGCACAGACCACACACAATTGTAAGAGTAGCGAGACAAGACTCACAATCTCGCTTCATAAGTTTAATGAAAGATTGGATTTCGTCCTAAACTTGGCCATCATTTTATGCACGTATCATTCCTTGCCGTGTCGGACATATAGAGTTTGATCTTTTGCATAGACTTCCATCAAATACTAGTAGAATGGCTATTTCGATATAACATACATTCCATCTGATGAAAACAGATTAATTTACAACAATGCAAGTTGAAATGATTGCGACTTAATTATTCCGCAAGTGAACTTTAACATCAGTGCCGATAATTTTATTTTAAAGAATGCTAGAGATTTATTTAAAAAGTTTATTAAAATATAAATCTATATCTCTAAATGGACGAAAAGTCTATTGTATATGCATATTATCAATAGTCTGTAAATGTGCTTTATAATAATCGCACATTTCTTTTTTATTATCTCATAATGTTATTTTAAATTTGTAATTATTATTATTCACGATTAATTGTAGACACAACTGTTATAATTTAACAAATCAATCTCGATAATTCGTTTATGGTACGATCAGAAATAATATTATATTTGTTGTCGAATATCGATAGGTAGTAATGGAAACGCGAGTAAAAGAGGAAGAAACGTTTTTCAATTTGCTATGCATTATTTATTTTTCAGTAAATTTACTCGTTATATTGAAATTGAATTCGGGGAAGTAGCGGAAAGTTGGAGACGGTGTTGGACAGCAAATATTCGAATGAATAAATTATTCAAAGTGCAGACTACATCTTTTTAAAATAAGGCAGAGTTGATTTTAGTAGAATCATCGACATATTTTTAGCTGTGTGGTATCCAGCGTGTATGTTATGATATTACCCTCTAAACACTCTAAACAGATTAGAACATCTTTTTTGCATCGTTCTTCAATTCGAATAGTTCTTATTAATCATCTCATTATATAGAAAAGAATTTTCAGTTTAAAGAATTTAATTTAAATTTTATCTTTATTTGTTATACTCTACTATAAAAAAATTCTCCTATTTTAAAAATAAATTTAACAATAAGCAGATTTTATTATACGCATCTCATTTTCATTCTTTCTCTCTCTCCCTCTCTCTTTCTCTTCCTCCCTATACATTATAACTTCTTCCATTATCGAAATTAATTTAAAAAAACAGAGCGATTGAGATTATCATAACGTATAGAAGCAAATTTTTATATTTTGCATCGCATATATTTTCGTTAATAGGATACATCTGAGGTAATTAATGAAGAAAAATGATATTAAAGCCAAGAGATATTCCTCCATAGAATATTGCATCCAGCTTACGGCGAGTTATAAAAGGTCAGCGAGATGCGAGCGAAACTTCGATTTAATGCTTGCACTTAATACATATTTTCACGGTAAATATTCTACTTATCTATATCATAGAGGTAAAAGTGCCATAAGCATGGTGTTTTAACTTCTATTTGTTCTTGTGATATATTTCGTGACTGTATTTTATATATACACACATATATACACACATACATACACACACATATTCTGCAATACGTGCATTATCTCGGAGTGCATCGCGTTCTTCGTTTTACTCTTTTACAGAAAGTTAACATCATTCATATCGATTAATTCTGATAGCCTATGCGTTCAGCTCTGTTGCTAAATTTTTAAAACGTTAACGTCTACGGTACGTCTTTTTTCGACGATGGAAACAATATATGATAAAGCAATAATCCTGCGGCGCAGTTTAAACGAAATTTTATTTTATATGTCATAAAATTCCGTGTGTTACTGCGCTATCATCGTTAAACCATAAATTGTGGCGTGTCCGTCGTGCATTAGTAATAAATGATAATTATATCTTTGTGATGATATTCTGGTCCTAAACCTACCTACGCGGCCCACGTGCGCCGATCATAAATGATTTTAGCGACTCGTTCCATTGCTGCGATTATGCATTTACGGTTTATTTTATCTTATGTGAATACCGCGCTAATATTAAAATTATTAACGGCTATCTAGATTAAAAATTGAGATTCGATATTAGAGTTCTTTTTTGATTTTGAGTATCACTGTCAATTATCTTTACTTTATATTTCTTACAAAACAAATTTCAAAAGTTTTAGTATATTGATATGATCGATGCATTTATATAACGTAAATTATTATTAATACGATCATATTATTGCTTACAATATATATACGCGAAAATTTATACAAGTGGAAGTTGTGAAAAATGCAACGTCAATCCAGCACAATAAAGCCTTATCTTTAATTTCTCTGATCAAAATTCCGATAATCATTCTTACTGTTTTTGATAATAAACTTTCTTCATCACTGTTCAGTGATGTGTGCCGTCACCAGCACGCATTTCCGACAATGGCTTTTGTTTAAAAAAATAAAAATATAAAGAAATAACGTATAATTCACACTTTTATCGAAAGTACTTAATCACTTAGATCTTATATTTTATCTGATATGACATTGGCGTCGTAGAAAATTCTTTATGTTTCTTTAAAATATTTTATAATGATAAAATATCGTGCAAGTAAATTAATTTTATCTTTGGTTTTATTTTAATTTTATCTTTAGCTTGCAAATGAATAATGAGTCATACATCAATTAATTATAAAAGCGTTCTCTCTTTTATGCTTTCAGGAAAACTTTCAAAATATATAATACATATTTCTCATATACATATATATCCAAATTTATTAATTTATTAATTCAATCAAATCTAGGTAATGTAACTAATCTAATAATAATCTGTACAATAAATATAGAAAGCTTATATATTATATTTTTTTTTTTTACTCATTTCTCAGGAAATCCGTCAGACATCTTATAAAAGATATCGAACGATAAAATGCAAAGATACTGTGGTAAAAATGTATCAATATCTCAATAGAGATTAAATTTTATCAGATGTAATATTCTCATTGTTCCGGTTTACTCTCTACCGAAATCGGTGTTCTAATGTAGAATTTAAAAACGAAGAACAAACAGAACCGTCACATTTGTTTTTACATTTCTTATCATTATTTTCCGCTTTTCTTCATCTCCTATCTGCTCATTTATATAATCGTTTTTCATGAAAGAACAGAATAACAATTGTTACGTAACTCAAAATTATGAATCATTATGACAAGTGGCTAAGACTGATATAAAAATTGGTGCACAAAGAAATAATAAGATAATAAGAGAATCCTCGCGCTTTTGCGGAACGTGATATGTAGGAATGTTTACGAAACGGCGACGCTGCCGGTGGTTAATATTAATTTAACGGCGAGCGCATTGTGCGAAGCTCGCAGGAAGATCATGGGATTAAGTTCACAACTGGTTTGGGAGATTGGCCGCTCTATCTCCTTCAGCGTTTGCTCGTTGCACGGTCTCGTGGATTAACGGAGCGCGGAAAATTGAGGTTCTCTTTTCTCGCTGTCCAATGAGATTGCTCTTAAAACAAAGTATCCTTTTTTTATGACAGCGCGGCGTGAACGAGAGATTGGGAAATCTTACAAAATTGAGAAATTTTTGTTTGAAGTTGCGAACTGTCTTTGCACAGTGTTTCAAAAACGATTTGAATTGATAATTTGCTTTGCAGTATATCATTTCTATTTAGAAAAAAAAAACTGTTAGATATATTAAATATATAGTAAAATATAATTTGCATACTCTATTTTTTTCGAATCTCACAAAAATATGTGATACATGATTGTAAGTGTTGCGAAATATCTTAATTGACATGGAATGTACCCGAGAAAATTTGGTCCTATTTTCAATTTAAATTTTCTCACGATTCTAGAGAATTTCGATAGATTTAATTTATATAGAAATTGAACTCTTATTTTATACCTTAAATAGTCAAATAAATCACAAAAATAGGTGAACAAACAACTTTTTATACTTAGAGATTTAAAAAAGACAGAGAGAAGCTTTGAACATAAATTAAATAGTTTTACCAGAAGAAAAATCTAAATGTGTGCGTAAAGTATCAAAATAGATGTTAGATTGAAAATTAAAATCTAAGGTAGGAGAATAATTTTGACATGTTACTACTATTTTTTAGACAAGTTTCATTATTTCATTCGCACATTACAAAATTTAAAAACTATTGAGAATTACAACATTGTCAGAATCATGCACATTTCGTGAAAGATAGATTTACTAAATATTTCCATGTATATCTTTACTATTATTATAAATTAATTTCCATATAATATGCATTAAATTGTGAAGTATTGAGAGACTGAAGTATTGAGATGCGAGACGCCAAAATGTCAATCTCGACATTTTTGTCTCGCAGTAGTTGCAGATCGTATCTTGGTAATACTGATGAAATTTGCGTACAAAAGTTTTACCTTATGCCACCCCCATACTTCCTGACATATATGTATTTGTCTATGTTCACACGTTTTCCATCCCTTCTTTCTTTCTGCATGCATCCCCGCGATATTGTAAAACGCGAAAATTTTTATACGAGAAGAACAAACCATGACGCTCGCGAATGCGTGCAAATTCTAATTCAATTATTGCAACAAAGCTCCGATGATTATCGCATAGACGTTCACCTTCGAGGAATTGATAAGAAAGTTTGTCTCACGTCACCTTTATTTTTAGATTTATCTTGCATGAATTTTTATTAAGTCACTTAGCGATATTGGAAATATTAATGAGTTTGAATAGAGTAAATGCATTAAAGAATTGAGTACATTAATGCACGAATTTCATGTCCTCTTGTTCACTTCTTTAACACCCATTGTGTTTTTCTTGAAGTAAACAGTCTATGTATGTCAACGAACTCGAGTGCATTAAGAGGGAAGCGCTACGCTTTTGCTGAATATAAAACCGAACGACTTTGATCTATCGAAGAAAGTATAATTAAGGCGCGGAAACATCGTGTAGAGCATTATTCTAATGTATTACATTCATTACCATAAATTTGCTTGACGTACTTATATCAGTTACATTCCGTACCGTTGCAACATATGGATGATCGCTTCGCAGCTAAACAACACATCCATGTATTGATACCGATCAGATATGCTTATCTCATTCGCCACCTTTTTACGACGTGTATACTACATGTGAGTACATATTGACGCATGTCGATCGATATTAAAGGCATCGAGGACTTGTATTTGTTGCGCAATGAGTAAAAAGATAAAAAAAATATAGAAAAATGAAAGTAAAACATATTGCATTATCTGATAATAATTAGTAATGTATATATGTTGAAACAAATGGAAACTTCGTCGAATTATTTGTACAGTTCCTACATACACATTTTTCATATTTTCTTTAAGAAAAAATCGATTCTCCGAATTAGCCTAGAGTTTGTATAAGCTATTGACGTTTATCTTTCAAAACTACGTTTATTAATATTTACGTTTATTATAATTATTATTATTATTATTAGAAGAAGAAGAGAGGAAAGAGACAGAAAAAAGTCGCTGTTCCGCGTTCTAATGCCTGGTAAAAAAAAAAACCGCTATTACATGACGGAAAGATATAACACTAAAATCATCGTGTTTCTTTTTTGAGCAATTTTATATACAATAGGTTTTACTTTATCTTGAGCTTAAAAAATAGTAATGCTTAAATAAAATTTAATAATCTTAATAAATGTTGGAATTTTTCAGATTAGATAATGTTTATGATGTCCAGATCACGATTTTTTGCTATATAAATTGAGGTACTATATAAAGATATAGTATTAAAATTCAAAATTTCTGGATCAGTCCTTCATAAGTCTATAATGATGAATACTGTAACATATGTATTTTTGTTAGTTGTCATTTTTGCGGTTATCTCGACCTTTGATGTCATGGCTGAACCATCAGCTGAAGTGGACCCTACTCTGCGATCACGATCTAAGGTATAACTTTTATTTAATGAATATATATGTTTTTTTGTTAAAATTATATATGCGATAATTATATTGTAAATGTGTGTGTGAAATAACACGTAGGAATATTATAAGATATTAACAATACATTTATTTATTTGTAAATAAAAATTTTTATATAAAAAATTATTTTGTATATAGTGTGTCAATAATAAAATATATATTGTATAATCTTAATATCTCTTATACATGTTGGTATAATAATCAAAGTTATGTATGTATATAAAAATTAAATTTTAATTATTTTTTTATATTGCAGCGAGGTCTACTAAATCTGCTATTCTTCTATGGAGGATTCCTCCTAAGACTTTTTTTAAATATCTTGGCAAACTTCCTGGCGTATAGAAATAGCATAGCATGATACAATTGAGACTACAATGCACTTAAGATGAGTTATATAAAAAGATTATGATTAAGTGATTATGGCACAATATATTTAGCAGAATTTTCAATTATTACAACTATTCTATGGTAATTTATCTATAATAATGTGAAAAATTGCTCGAAATAATGTTTTTGTCAGGATTATATAAATTGTAATGTGTAATTATATTATTTTATTATCATATATAAAAATATATTTTGTGTGAATAAATGTCCGTATTATAACCATACTAAGTATGATTTATGGTTGATAGGCTAATCCCTTGTTATCTAGCAATTGCACAAAATTTAGTTTAAAGTATTTGTTATCACATGAATCATTATTTAGATATTAGTAATATAGCAAAAATCACAACTGCAATTCGCAGAAATAACGAAATATTAGTCTCATTTATATTGCATATGAGTTTTAACTTAAAGTTTTATTGCAATGATGCTTTATACTGAAACGTAGTATATTATGTGTATAGTATAATATATTGTATACTTGTATAGTATAGTATATTGTATATATGCAATTATTTCTCTCTATACAAATTTGTTTAAGTCTATCAATAAAATTTGACGTCAAAGGCGAAGAACACGCAATTGTTAGCACTCGCCTTCTGTCGTCGAATATTCAAATGTGAAATCTGCGGGAGCAATCGCAGGTTTCTTTTTGTCGATTAAGTAAAAGTAGCGGAACAAGTGTAATCTCATTTCGGAAGTTTAATTGAAGATTTCGTCTTTCCTGAATTTAATCGCTACGATGTGTATAATGCGATGTAGATGCATCAGATTTTGATCTTTTCGCAAAGTACCTACTAGTGGAATGGTTACCTTGATATGATATACATTTCTATCTTAGAAAAAAAAGAATCAATTTTTAGAAATGCAAGTTGAAGATACTGTAAGCCCTGACTAAGTAAGTATTATATTCCGTATAAGTTCCAACATTTTTGACAATAAAATTTTGTTCTAAAATATAAATAATATAAAATTTATTAAAACAGATCTGTATATCTTTAAATAGACAAAGAATCTGTGGTATACACGTATATTGTCAATAATTTGTAAGTGTTTTGCAATATATGCATGTTCTTTTATCATTTTATAACGATATTTTAAACTTTTAATTACAGGCCGACAAAAAAAAATTTTTGTCAAGTAACTTTAATCAGAATAGGTGTTTCTTATAAATTTTTGGCCATAAAAAACAATGCCGCTGTCCAAATTGCTCCATCATGTCAGGTTTTAAAGTTATTTTAAATTTTAAGATGAGAAATCGGCGATTTTTCATTTTAAAATTTAAAATAACTTTAAAACCTGACATGATGGAGCAATTTGGACAGCGGCATTGTTTTTTATGGCCAAAAATCTATAAGAGACACCTATTCTGATTAAAGTTACTTGACAAAAATTTTTTTTTGTCTGCCTGTGTTATCATTGTCTATGATTCATTTATAGCACAATTTGCAATAATATAATGTTCATTGTGTAAATATCGATAAATATATAATCTATTATAGATTATTTATGGACTATATTTAGAAAATTGATATTATGATGCGCGAGCAAAGATCTTAGATATAATTTATGTTTCAAAACTACGTTGATTAAACATATAATAAAAGAAAAGAGAAAAGAGGCAGGAGTTGCCGTTTCATGTTCTAGTGCCTGATCAAAAGGAGCCGATTTAGCACGGCGAGGAGAAATTTGAAGAAATATCGAGCGGGAAATATATTGACGCCAAACAACCAAAGACGGCGAGGATGCGCAAGCATCCGTGAGCATCATTGTTATTTCACAGCTTGGGAAGCGTGGGAAGCGAATATCTTCACGCTCTAGCAAACACCCAACTTACGTACAGGGCTCTCCCTTTTCACGGCATAATTGCTCCCTGGTTCTACCGCGCCTTGTAGAAGACACATATCGTTCGACGCAGTTTCGACACAAATTATTGTTGGGTTTTGGTATTATTAAACTCAAATCGGAAAATCCGAAATCAAAAATATTATTTTATTTTGTATCACGTTAATGATATCCGTCGATTACTAATCGTTTTTATTATACATGAAAATTATGAATGTATCTAATGCAAAATTATTCTTTTGTAATATTTTTTCCGCAAGCAAAGAATTTTACTCTGAGAAAAGAAGATTAACGTTTCAAAACCTGATATTATATCGGTCGTTGCAAGTTTGTGTAAATAATTATTCAGATAATTGTGATACCGGCGAGCGATTATAAGTCTGTTGCCTGTTAATCCCATTTTGGATTCAAGGCAAATATTAATTATATTTATTTCTGTTTTATTCGATTTATTTTTATCTTATTTATTCTTTTGCTTATCAATCAGGTAATTATGTGAATATTACTCGTTTGACTAAGGAAAGTTGAAAAAATGAATTCCGATAAATAGACGTTTAAATGAAATTGAAAAATATTCCGAATGGATACAGTTTCTCGATATCGCAGCGAAATCTTTGCGAATGACAAAGAAATAAATCAGTTTCTTACGAGATGTTTGCCATCGATGGTGTAATGATAGCTTATCTCTCAAACGATTCTTCTGCAAGTTTTGCTTTCGAGAAAATCGTATAGTATGCACACGAGCGGAAATTAATTTCCACTGGATATATCACTTTAGCAAAAACCTCATTTGTCGCACGTATCAAGAATGTCAATTAAAAACTAAAAAGTTACCAAACAAGAGACATAAAAGTAATGTCAATTTCGTTTTCAAATCTACATTTTTAATCACATCTGCTTGTTTTGACATATTCTGTGCAATAGAAATAATTGTAATTGTTACTAATTGACCGCGACTTCAAGAATGACACATAACGCCGGAATAATGGTCGAAATTTTACAATTTTTGTACGTAAATGCATAAAAAAATGCGGATGTTACGGAATAATATGTATTCCTTGTACACACATAACGTTAATTATAATTTGTAACTAAACTTAAAAAACTATTGTAAAAAAACTGTATATTTGTGATCCGATGTGTCAAATCTGCTTCATGTTTTTAGTAGTTATAAAAAAAAAACTTTTTGAGATATATTTAGAATAAACTCCACTAATTTTGTAAAATTTGCAATACTAATATCGTAAAGAATTGTTTTCTAAAAATTCTTAATAAAATTCTCTAAAATAACAAAAAAGTAGCACTTTGAAAAAAATAATATGTTTTCTATTATAATTTATACTATATTTATTATATTATATGCATGTTAAAAAACAAAAAGCTCTTTTGTTAATAAAATATTTTTGAGCTATTCTTCCTCATAAAAAGCATAATTGCAAAAAAGTATTGAGAACGGTGAATCCCTGATAATCCATTTTTTTTGTCTTAATCGCATCATGGAGATGATAGCATTGATGACCATACTTGCGATAATTTAACGTTTATCGCGGTTAGCTATATGATGAAAATCGGTGATAATGTTGGAAAGTGCATTCAGATTTCTTGATGCACCGCCGCAGTTGTTGGTTTGACGTAAATCAAGACGCATCAAAAATGGAAAAGCAAAATCGTTCCTTAGTGATCATCATTTCTATAGTTATATATACTATTATTCATTCAGGTAAGTGATACAAACCTTTATAATAATTCAATTATTGCACTAAAAATTCTGCCAAAAATGGATTAAAAAAAAATTAAATTGCACAATAGATTGTATGTGTATATAAATATAGGGTAATTTGGGGGAATACGCCATACCTAATTTTGAAAAGCAATATTTTTGTAATTATTAATTATGAGCAAAACAAAATAAAACAAATTGAAGATATCGTCATTATATTTATATTTGATTATAATTAAAGAAATCTAAGTTTTTTATTATTATTATTATTATTATTAAAGTATTACGGTAAGATTATCGAAAACTAAATATTTTACGAGATATTTTATTTTTTATATCAAAATATGTCAGAATAAAATATAAAATAACTCAAAAAGTACTTAATGAAAAAATACTTTATCATAGTGTTTTGAAAAGCTCTCGGGATAAGTTACACGAATATGCAATAAAAATGGGGGTTTCCATTTAAGAAATCGAAAGTCACTTTCATGCGATCTTCAAACGACTATTCAAGGTCAAACCAATGACACCATCTTATGTCCCCCCCAAAGTCACAAAACTTTTGTATATAACATTTTTCCATATTATTATAAGTAACGGAAATATTTCAGGTGGCGAGAGTTACTAGTCCACCCTGTATATACATATATATATATATATATATATATATGCAGCATCTTATTGCACATAATAAAAATTAAATGTAAAAATTAAAAAAAAATACAGAACTTGTGTATACATTTGTAATGTGTGAATAAATTACATGATTCACTAAGAATAATAATCCAAATAAATCCATTCATTACGTAGTAATGTTACAAGTATTACGTAACAATAACTTTTTATTTTAGATTCTTTATCGAAAAACTTAAAAAACTTAAAACGGAAAGGAAACATTTTACCAACATTGCATTTTCCCTCGAGTTATATATAGGGAAAAGTAGGGTAAAACCGAGTACTTTTTTGGATTTGTCTTTCTACAAAAAATCAAAGAGCAAAAAAAATTCTATTGATTGTTAGTAGTCTTTAATGGACCTTGAACTATCAGAAAATGAGGCTAATTGCCGAAAAAAAAAATATTTAGTTACCAAGAATAACAGGATTTTTTAAAGAAATCAAAATACCCAGTTTTGTCTCACCGGTAGGATAAAATCGGGTACCTATTTGAAAGCATGTAAAACACCATGCAATTAAGGAATCTTCATTTATTTTAATCAAACTGCAATACAAAAATGTATTCTATAAACAAAATGTATTCTATAAATAAAAATCACAAACGAAGATATCCTCTTGCTTTACATTGCTGCAGGACTTCCTTATTTAAATTTTTAACTTTAGGGATCTTAAAAAGCTTTTTTTTAGTGGTTTCTTTTTCTGAGTGACAATCTTCATTTCCAACTGCTTTTTGTAGGAAGACAAAGTCAAATGGCAGTTTTTCCTCTTTTCATTATATAAAATGTGTAGATACCCGGTTTTGCCCCAACACGAGGAAAATAACAAACACGGCGGCTGTACATTCTGAAGTATAAAGTGACAATCAAAACTAATACGTACAAAATGCAATTCTGCATTTAGCGAAACAGATGCTCTGTGTAGAAAAAGTCCATAATGACTCGATTATTGCCTCGATATCGATCTTTTTTGGCCCAAAAATTTTAAACACTTCTCTCAAAAAAGAAATATCGTCTGCACAGGGCACGGTTCATCTTAAAATAATGTTGATATCAATCTACAACTGATAACACAAGTTAGCCAAAGATAATAGCACTTATCACGAAGAAACAAAGGTACCCGGTTTGACCCGTCTATCTGGTTTTATTATATATACAGGGTGTCCCCAATTTAAATGTCAAAACTTTAGGAGCGTGTAGGGGACCGATAAACTAAGACAAAAAGTTCTTTAGAGATTTGCTCGTTTTTGCTTCGTTTTGAAGAAAATCGCAAAAAATGAAACAAATAGTTTTCACCAAAAAACTTAAAACAACACTAAAATTATTAGATTTATTAAAAAGTATTATAAAATAAAAATTATAGAACATGGAATTAAGAAAAGAGAGTGAGTTAAAATCCTCCTGTTAAGGCATAACAGAATTTACATGTTAATTGATAGGCGTCATCAATTATTGTGCAAAGAGAATTTAAAAGATTAATAAAATAAAATATATTGTCAAAAATGTGATATCGGAGCAATTAAAAAAATTCTATATTAATTAATTAAAACAATAACATTTACTTTAATATATAGTTATGCGCAAAAATATTATTACTAATCTGATGCTTTATCATTTCCAAGGGGACGCATTGCAATGTTATACCTGTAACTCATTAGAAGATCCTACTTGCGTGGAGGGACCATACTCAAACGTTGAAGAATGTGTGTCTTTGACAACTATACCGTCAACTCCGACCACGACAGAAACAACCTCGGCTAAGACATCTCCGACCACGACGAAAACAACCCCATCTCAGACAACTCCGACTACACCGAAAACAACTCCGACTCAAACATCCCCGACCACGCCGGAAACAACCCCGGCTCAGACATCTCCGCCCCCGCCGGAAACAACCCCGGCTCAGACATCTCCGACCACGCCGGAAACAACCCCGCCTCAGACATCTCCGACCACGCCGGAAACAACCCCGACTCAAACATCCCCGACCATGACGGAAACAATCGCGGCTCTAGATGAGACAAGGATGTTCAATAAAAAACTGGAAATTGATGCAAAAGGTATCTAAAAAATAAAAAATAAGTTTTACACTTATTAAAATATATTAAATTCAATATAGTTAATTAAACAGCTTAATAATCTCTCAATAATATTAAGATGTAATACAAGATGTAATACAATGAAAGTATAACCGTTTAATGGAGATTAAAAAAACAAGAGAATTTTTAGAATGTGCAAAATATTTTTAATCGATTATATTAATAGCATTAATAATAGATTTTTTATATACTTTTTTTAAATTGCTATTGAATTGCATTGCATGAGAAAAGATTTCATAGACAAACAATTCTTGACAAATTATTTGTATTAATGCAAACGATAATTGCGCGTACACTCTTAATACAAAATATATAAATATAAAAATATAAATATAATTTGTTTCTTTGATTACTGATCTTGTTTTCTTTCTTTTTTTTTGTCAATTTAGAACAAAATATTGAACTATATATGTATATATTAACTATATAATATTTACTAATGTTTTTTTTTAATTAGTACCAGATCACTACAGATTACGTAGAAGTATTTTTCAACATAGAAGCTCTTATGTTCAAACAGACGCACCTAATGAAGAAGAATGGAATTGTGCCGTAATCGAACGTGGTAAGTATACAAATAATTAATATTTTATAGCTTCGAATTAGATTCTTTCTCAAGATTTTTTTTTTTACAAATGTTTTTCATAAAAATCCTTTTGGCAACTCTAGATTCTCTTTTCAATGATTTGCCATTACAGATATGAGAATATTTACTTGAGAGAGAGAGAGAGAGAGAGAGAGAGAGAGATTTCTCAAATAAAATTTTAACATTTTAATTTGCAAAAATTTGCAATGTGTGTAACAATATAATGTTCTGATATTTCAAATATACAAATTTTGTAACTTTCTTATGTATCGGTCAACAGAATTTTTATTAATATAATATTTTGATACATTATATATTATGCATATATATTTTTCTTTTATGCAACAACGAGAAGAAATGATTTTGTTAGAAATTTAAATATTATTTCTTTCCATATAGAATATAACAATACTGTGGTCATCGAACGTGGATGCGTTGCTGCGTCCTATAAATGTCCTGAAGAAGAGAAGTGTAAAATTAAAAAAAAATGCAATTCAAATAAATGTAATAATGCTACCGCGGTATCAATTAATATGGTAACTTTGTCATGGCTGATGGTTTCATGGGCGATTGTATTTATTCTTGCAGATTCTTATCAATTCTTAAGTATTACATTATAACACGTTATTTATAAAATAATGTGTATCTTAATTTTTATAATCTTTTATATAATATATATAATTTTATTCAATAATTTTATAATAAATAATCTTTTGGCTATAGAGAATTTGAGAATATTTTATATTAAATAAGTTTTCACCAATAAAAAATGCAAACTTTGTTAAGATTATTTATACAAAAATTTAAAATAACAATATGGCTGTCTTGATTAGAACTGAAATTAATTAGATATTATTCATAAAATTAAACAAAACATATTAATACAATACGCGTTAATGATTGTTTCTCATTATTCACCATAAAGATCTTGCACACTTTTGCTATTATACATATTATTTAAAAATTATCTATTAACGTGCCATTTAAAAAGCATTATTGCCATTTTTTATGTACGTTTAAGAAACACGTTGAACAGATTGGGCACCACTGTAAGGGTATTATGTACTCTTCATGGTAGAACGATCACAGAACTTTATGGTTTCGAGAGAACAATTACATCTAAATATACGTGAGTACACTTTTAATTTTATGGATTTCACGCTTACGAGCAGCCATGTCGCAGCTTATTTAACTAATTTTGTCAACTTAAGTTACTCATCGATAAGCTAAGCCACATCAAAGCGTAACATCTATAATAATATATTGTATTGTATGATTTAACGTTCAAGTTTTTGTACGTTATTTTTACGGTATTGTACAAAATTATTTCTGTGCTTAATATTTTTAATATTGAACACCTGTGTATATCCTTCTGTAGAGTAAATCTATTTATTGTATTATGTGTATATTGTATTGTGTTATTCATATAGGTGGTCTGCACATATAGATATTTTTAATGAACTATATTCTGTAACTGAGTTGTAAGAAAATAATATTATAGATGCAATGGGATAATATATTATTACGCTAGAAAAAATATTACTTGCCAATGAAATGATTATATATAGATATGATTTCGTATACATTAAGTTTATCACTGAAAAATATTTAAAGATCATATTTATCTCCTGTATTACAACTATCCTGATTGACGTTAATTAATTAAATTATTAAAGAGTTTTGTTGTCTTTATAAGGGCGATGATACGCTCTCATTTTTTAAATTTCACATAATGGGCGAATATGCATCTCTTTCTATCCCAAGATTGGATGCGATACTTGTTAGTTCGTCTGATTCTTGTATTTCACTCAATCGTACATAATCACGTCGCTTTTACAAATCGATGTCGTTGACATCCTTATTTCGTATTCGTATGCCAAAAGAATCTAAACAAGTGTGCAGTCAATCAACAGTAAACATTTTAGCGATTGCGTCCTTTACGATTAAGTCTTCCCACGTCCCAAGTCTCTCTATTTAAGCTTTAAGAGTACCCGCCCGTCTACGATTACGTTATCGAACGCAGTAAATGGAACTGCGTTACGTTCACGTGGATAATACCGTCTGTGAATTAACAGAAACGAATTTCACGGCCATATCGTACTTTACGTTATCTAATGAATTTTATTTGTAGCTTAAGAAATACTTGGGAATGACGGAAGCAGAGTAGCTTCACAAAACATAATATCGATTACTATAAAGCGAAATTTGATAAAAAGAATGTTTGCTAAAAAAAGTTGCTTAGTGATCGTAGAATTATTATAGCGGTTTTGTGCGCACTTAAATGAAGATATTCTTTAATAGCAAACTCGCGATAGACAATGAATAGCTGTACAATTTTATTTCACACTAAAATACACAATAAAAATCATTATTTCGAATACTCCAAATACTGCTGAAAAAATTAAATGTACAGATACGTGTACACGCAAATTATCTACGTCAATCTTTCAAGTTTTTGCTTTTTGATATACTAAATAATTTAATATTAGATCTCTTTTGTATATTTAGATTAATATTTATAAAATAATTCGAGTTAAATATAAAACGGTTTTCGTTAAAAATAGTACGTTTGATTTTAGTAACAGATATCGTGAAATTATTGAATAGTATTAATAATTATATCAAAATTACAAAATATTGCAGTATTGAAAAGATAATTAGGTTGTTTCACTGTTTATATTTTACAAAATTAATATCATATAAGTATCTCTACAAAAGAGACACATTGTATTTCAAAAAAATTCTTAATAAAACTTTTCTATAAATTTAGAAAACGTAACAAATATACAACAGTACATTTTTCATTTCTAATTTATGTTATTGTATTATTTATATTATTGTATTTATATTATTGTATTGCAGTTGTTTTTTATATGAAAATTGATTTGCTAACAAAATAATTTCAAACGATATTTCTTTTATATAATGAAATATATAATTCTAAAGTATCAAAAATAATAATTAAGTCTTCGATAATTTGTTTTTTCATATTTTAATCACATGAAGGCGTGGTATCAGATGGAGACTAAATTTGCGATTATCTATCATTTATCACAATCAGTTTTGATCGTGATAATTTTTGTGAAAAATGACGATAACGCTGTAAAGTATATTTGAGATTTCTCCACGTATCGCGACAGTCATTGGTTCGACGTAAATCAAAGCACATCAAAGATGAATATTCGTTCTTTTATGATTACTATTGTGATAGTCTTATTTGCTATTCTTCATTTTGGTACGTCATAAATTTTCGATAATTTATTCGATTAATTTTGTAAATGACAAACTTTCAAGAATTTTGAAAAGTCGGGTTACAAAGATTGCATATCGTATACATCTACTATAAAATCTGGTTTTTAAAAATCGTCATAAATATATTGCGCAATTAATATCAAAATTAATAAAATGGAAGATATTGTTAAACTTGTAACACTCGTATAATTAAAAAATTCTCATTTTTAAGTATAGTTAATTAATATAATCCGAGCGTGAAAATTTTTCTTGCTCTTGACTCCATTAATTCAACGCACATATACCTATATGTAAAAATATTTTTACTAAAATCTATTATTTTGTTCGTTTCTTTCTAAGGAGAGGCAACACAATGTTATCAGTGTGACTCACGAAAAAACGATACTTGTATAAAAAATCCATCATCCGTCGCAAAAAACGCAACATGTCCATCTGGTGTGAATTGTGGCAAATGTAATTATGGTAAGTACCTAAGCAAATGAATATATTATATATTATATACAGCAACTTTTAATATATAGAGTATTTTAACCTTTCTAAAAATGAGAAAAAAACTTGTTTAAGATGAATTTTAAATATAACTATATGTGAAAAATTAATAACCCCCCCACCTCCCTATATATTAAATATATTATATATATAAAGCATATTTTCTAAACTTTTGAGAGTTGTACGCCTCTTGGGTATTAATTAGAAATTTTTATAATAGTATATTGCATTTTCATTATTAATATTATAATATTTTGACGCTTCATATATTATGGATGTAATTTTTTTTTTTTCTTGAACACATTTCCTTTATTTTATTTTGTAACAAATATCGCGCAATCAGGATTGTTAATAATAAATAAAATTTTTTTCCAGGATATAACGGCACTACGTTCGTCATTCGCGACTGTGGTTTCAAATTCGAATCACCGGTAGAAAGCGTAGATTGTACTTTGTGTAAGGGAGATCTCTGTAATAATGCTAATATGGCAACAATTAGCATGACGGCATTAGGGTGCCTCGTATCTTTTTGGGCAATTCGATCTGTTCTTACAAATTCTTATTAATTTTTCAATTTGTAACATCATGAAACATGCTCTTATATTAAAAAATATATTACATTGAATAGTTATATTGTTCTTCTATTTTACCTATGCTAATTATTATATTATATATAAATATATCATATATGAATATACAGATAAGAATGAAATGTACACTCATGCATACATACACTGTCTTATGTGTCAACTATTTTATTATATGAATATAATAATTGTCATCTAAATTGATCTAATCTCACAATTTATATTGATTATATTTCTTTATGCGCATTTATTTGAAAAAAAATTTTTTTTTGCGCTTATAATAATAATAATAATAAAGAAATAACTTTTAAGAGGATTCTTTCAGAGCTAGTCTCAGGTCTCTGCAATATATTTAGGCCACGCAAAAATGAAGCTGTTCCTAATTTTTTAAAATATTTTTCTCTTCCTTCTAATATGAAGTATCGTATATAATTAATTAAACTTTAAATTATAAATTTTCTTAATAATATCAATATATGTATGTGATTTTGAGTCAAATCTATTTCACTTTTCACTTTTTATTAACAAACGTGATAAAAACTTATTAAAAATATGTTGACATATTCTACATTATATTCTCTACGTTATATTCAGAAAACTAGTATTATGTTTACACAAGAAAGTACTTCTTAAAAATTCTTAATAAAATTTTTTTCGAGAATGTCGAGAAAGTAGCGATTAAACTAGAACATTAGCGTTATATTGTGCCTATATAATTGGTGAATATTGATTTTTACTAATAAAATACACGATTGTTAAAAAAACGATATATATAAAATATATATATCAACTTATTATATAAAATATCCTTTCCAAGAACTGCATTTTGAAGATGATAACGTTGATAACGCAGGAAATGAGATAATTTAGCGAGATAAATCTAGATAACTTATCGTAATCAGCGATATATAACTATATATATATGTAACAAAAATCAATGATAATTTTGGAGAGTATAAAATTATCCTTTACTGCTGGGAATAGCTGTCAGTTTAATGTCAATCAAGACACATCGAAGATGGAAAGGCAAGGCTTCACTATGATCACCGTATTAATAATCATATTCGCCATTCTTCATTCAGGTACATACAAATTTGCGACAATAAAATAAATTTAAGATTAATAAATTTAGAAATTAAATAAATTTTTGACAAATGTTATAGAAATAACAACCGCTATCTGTCATTTTCTATTTTTTAAACAGGAGAGACAAAGAGATGTTATAGCTGCAATTCGGTTAACAACGAAACTTGTGCAAGCAATCCGTCCGAATTCGAAACGACGGAATGTAACTTGTTTTGTGTCAAATGTGATTATGGTAAGTAACACCCAAGCGAATAAATATATTGCTTTTAATCGAGTATTTTATCTAAGATTAATTGCATTCTTATTTCAACTGTTGCATGAGTGCTTTTTTTAAGTTCTCTTTTTCTATTTTTCTTTCTCATCCACCTTTGCAAAGATGAGAGAACATGTTTGAGATAAATTTTCACTTAAAAAAAGTTGCAATAAGAGAATATAATAGATATTTCACAAAATATTAAAATTTTTGTATCTAATGCATATCACAATATACTCTGCATATTAATTGACAATTTTTAATAGTAAATTGCATTTTCATAATTACATATGATTAATAGCATAATACTCTATAATGCTTCGCATAGATATATGTTATATAATAAACAACCTCGTTCATAATAAATAAAATTATTTTTCTAGAAACGCTCTTCGGCACGACGGGTGTCCAACGTTTCTGCGGCATACGTACTGTCACAACCTTAGAATTGGCAAATAAATTTGATTGTTATTCATGCAATACAAATCTCTGTAATAATGCTAATGCGCTGCCAACTAGCCTTGGGATGGTAGCCTTAGGATGTCTAGCACTATTTTGGATAATTCGGTTTGCTCTTACAGATTCTTATTAATTTTATTCAGCTTTTGTAACATTATATGCGCTTTGGGGGTAGATACATTAAAAATATATATCTCTTTTTATATAACAAAAAACTACACTATTGGTTTATCTGATTTTATCAAAAAGTATCTTAGATTATCGGACTTCAATAACGGTTGAACCAATCGAATTCTTAATAAGCTTAATCAAAAGCTTGAGTATAAATTAATTATATAAGGAAAATGTCTTTATTATTGTTCTATATGTATCACAAACGAAGTTATTATGCTGCAAAGTCTCAATGTACAAATTTTCCTTTAAGAAACGTCTTCCAAATTTTTTATAACTAAAAATTGAGTAAATACAAGATGACATTAGCAGCGCTTGCATCCGATGGTAAATTATTGTTATTATGTTATATTATAATTACCGATCGTCATCGATAATCTAATACGTCAAAGTATAATATATGTTTGCTAATCAATTTGGTATCATTAATTCGATGTCATTAATTATTGTTATCATTAATTCGAAGAAATCTGTTCTTGAAAAAATTGTATATGCCATATACAATTTTTTAATATCAAAGTATATATTATATAAATATATATATGGCTGATTTTGATTCTTTATATATATATATGGATATAATATAATAAATTTATGCACAAATTTTAATTGAGAATTTTGTTTAAGATAGATAAAGAGCTGTGTAACGTCGAAACAGTAGTCAATATTTTCTAAATAACCGGAATAAAGAAATTTTTACGTCGTTGCGATTCAATCTGAAATGTTTAAGAACCTTCCCTCGGAAGATGTGTTCCTGCAAAAGTGGACCGCAGTGTGGGAAATTCCGTTGTGATGTGCCGGGAAGAGCGCGGAGACCTCATTTCTTTCGCGAATAGCATAATGTGCGAGGAAATTCTCAAGGAGATTGGATCTTCTCGACATCGGTTGCGCTTCTCTTACGCGTCACGAAGCGAAAGAGTGCAGATCTAACTGTAAAGTCTTAGACCGCTGGCTACGCAATAAAATTGCATAAAAGTAGTCTACTTTAATAACAGAATGTTCTTTTCCGCGATGCTGTCTCGCTCTTATCTTGATACTTACATTATACCAGCGGACAATAGAAAATACGTGTCTTTTGCAGAAAAAAAGACCGTGGAATTAAATAAAATTTCAGATGAATTCTGTCGTTTTAAACGAGCAGTAATTTACGCAACTGTACCTCTTACTATCATATGATACGACATTGTATAATGAAAGATTATTCCGTGTCGAATAACGCGTTAAAAACTTGGTTCCATGCTAATGATTGAACATAGAGATTGAGTCTTTCCTTCTCATATATCTTGCCATATCTTGGAGCATTTATATAATCATTAAATAAATGTTTGCGACTTATTAGTTGGGCTTATATAAATGAGGCTAAGTGTAAAAGACCCAAATACAATAAAATAACAACGTTCTCATATGTCAAAAGAAACCCATATAGCATTAAAGTAATAGAAATATAATGTAATTGTATGTATTTTTATGTCTTTTTTAGAAAACTTATATAGTCTTGTTAGAAAACCTCCAGATCTTAGATCTTATTGTTAGGTAGCTCGGGTACCTCGGGTTTGCCCGTACTCACTATTGTGAGCCCCTGAGGGGGAAATACGGAAAATTGTAAAACTGCATATATATACATAAATAATATAAATACATATATATATAAAATATGTAAGTAGTTTTATTAATTTTATTTATTGTGTCCCACATTCTCATCTACTTGTTAACTACAAAACTGGAAAGCTACATTGCCACTGATCAATAATAAATATATTTAAAAAAATACTATATGTATTTCATTCGTTTATTGTTGTAATTGTATGTTTTATTGCCGAAATGTGTAAGACGAGTAAAATGATCTATTACTTATTCATCGTGCACAATGCCGTTTAACAGAGGCAACTGTCTCGCGATAAAAGTTTTTTACGATCTCTTTTTTGCGATCTCTCTCTCTCTCTCTCTCTCTCTCTCTCTGCACATTGTTTATGAACTCATACATCTACGCATACATACGACGTATCGCATAGACTTTCATCTCTCGATTCCCATATAATGCATAATATATGGTCAGGCAACCAGTTTTCTCGCGTGTGGCGTGCACATTATTTTACATTAATATCGCGTCGAAAAAACGGCGGAGTAAGCTTTTTTTCCAACGATAATGAAGAAAACTTTCGGCGACCGCGGCAACCCTAATTAAAACCGCGCGGTGCAGTTATTTCTCTGCTGTTTTTTAATTTGTTCGAAGGCTTGTAAAGCTCGCGTTTTCATTTCACGGAATTATTTATGATTCATTGGAGAAACAATCGTTTTAACATGTTATTATCTTATCTGCAATATTTTTTGAATAGATTATACATATTGATTTTTTTAAAGGATGTTGTGTTAAAAATTATTATAGATAAGATTACGCATTAATGTTACCTTTTTTTTACGTATGTAGATATTTATTTAAGAGATAGGAAACATCGAAGAGATAAGTCCAGAAAAATTTCGTAGAATTGAATAAATTAAAAAAAAACAGTGATTAAATTATTAGATTAATTGTTTTGATACAGATACATTAAGGAATCGTCAAAGTTTAAACTTCCATTAAATATCGAACGTATTTTGTTAAACTGAATTCTTTACTAAATTGATACAACTATTTCCCGCAACTTCCAAGGTATCCCCGGCATTATATTTCAAGCGGTCATCGCACTTTTCGCGGTGGAAATTGATCGTAAATGAAAGTCTATTCGGAACGGATAATTAGTTTCTTGATGAGCGCATAAACTAATTAGCCGGTACAAGGCGAGGTTAATGCAATCACCGTGCGTTCCGCTCATTATCTTTACCTCAGAACTTAACTGCAGATACATATACTCGATATGCGCCTGCAATTCAAGAGAAATCAATCATTTAAGAAATTTACGAAGCCGTATCAAATATGGCGTAATCATAATTATAAAATTGTAGCACTTTTACTCAAACGTCAATCACAGTTTAATTATATTAAGAAAAGAGAGAATGTTTCTTCATTTCATTGATAAAACACAAATATAGCAGAGAAATTTTTTTTTACGTAATTCGAATACTGAGAGCATCCTCTCTCGCAACATTTATATTTATAAATTCTCATCTGTTTAAAGTTTAAAGCGCCGTCGAACCGTATCGCGCATCATCTCTGATAAAGACTTGCATTTCCGTAGCGTACGACGCCGGCGTCGCGTCGCGTCGATCCTCAAGCAGATTGCCAAAGGCCGTTCTGCGGCCGTATAACGAGATTCGATTACGGTAAACCTCGTAAACTTCCAATATTACGGCTGAGAAAGCAGTGCTCGCTTGTCCGTTAGGGGGGTAGGAAAGGAAGGGAGGGCAGAGACTCCCCCGACCGTCTTATTCTCCTCGACCGTCCATCCCTCGCTCTCTCAGAGCTATCTCTCTATTTTTTTCTTCTTTTCGCCATCGACGGAGGCAAAAAGCATCGCTCGCCCCCCCCCTCCTCCACCCGAACAATCTCTAAACTTCATGAAAGCAACACGCCGCGAGACAAACGCGGATCTCTTATTACGGCGAAACGAAGTTGTGTTCGATTAGTGACATTTTATTTTCAGTGTCCTCCAGGGATAATATTATTTTTTGACAATGTCATAGACGGAAAAGAGTGATCCGTCCGGAAGACGCTAATAAGAACCTACAGCGAGTATTTTTAATGTGCAATAAAAATTTTGCAAAAATTTGCAAAAATTTATACAATAATGTGCAATAATGAGGAGGTGATACATCCATTCAGTCGAATGTCACTCGACCAATTTCCTCGACCGCGTTGAGAAACGCTGAGCTAATGCTCACGCATGGTTTGACTCCAATTAGCACCAACCCCAAAGGCTTTACCTACCAAATCGCTCATATCACGTGTTGCTTACGCGTATAAACCTTAAATGCAATTAACACTGACACGGTTGCAAAACATTACTTACTGGTAAGCAAATTTCGTCCATGGCGAAAATCATTCAGCTGGCTATGAGCCGGACGAAGGTGAAGCCTGACGCCTTGCGCGAAACCTGACAAGAGGTACGATGCTCTTTCAGACATTATAAAGGCTATCTCGACACGCGCACGTACAGAGAGAGCATATATCTCATCTTTCAGTTATGCGTTCACGCGCGCCGCACGTATATTATGGCAGATTAGCCGCGAAGTATCGAAAATTACTCGACGCACGCCGAAGAAAAGCGTGTTCGCAAAGGAGTGAATCTTCTCTGACCACTAATCCCTCTCTCGCATGATCACAAAATCGGCTAACAATAAAAATAATCATCTCATTTCGTTAAACGCATAAAAAAGAAATTTTTTTTACTGGATGGAAGAAAATTTTGACCGAGGAAAGAATAATATCTCTTTCTTTTTTCAGAGAAAATTTTAAAGATAGTTAAAAAAATGCTTCTTATCGTCATTAATTTAACGTCTGCTTATAGCACGTACGAATAATTGTTCTTTCCTTTTCCTCTACGTCTCTTATTTCAAATCCAAATCGATATTTTGCCTCTATTTTCGACTTCAATTTTCTCACATTTATGGATTCCGAAGGAAATTCGATAAATTTAATTTATATAAGAATTAAGTTCCTACTTTTCTCGTACATTAAATAAACAGTAAATGAATAGTTTCCTATTTAGAACTTTAAAGGAAGAGCTTTCGATAAAATTATAAATTATAAATGAAGAGAGTTACCTAACTGCTTAAAGTATCAAAGTAGATGTTAAATTAAAAATTGAGCTCGAAAGTGAGAGAAAATTTTCAACTCGGGAATCCAAGATGATTGGTGTTCTTTCATGAGTTTTAACGATACTGTAAATAATCAATAATTAATACATGCATTAATATATTTTCTTATTCATATTAATTACTTATATTGTATTTTTTTTTGCACTTGAATATTTCGTTATTATGTTATTTCTCGTTGAACACAAAGATTCAGCGTCACAAAGACTCTGTTACAGTGACATTAAAAATCTAACGCAAATGTAATATCCTCTGTGTCTGAAGAGATACTACATCCTCTTTGCATATTTTCGTCGCAGCGTGTTACACGTTGGTTGCATTTGCATCTTTCTCTTATCTAGTCTAACCTTTATTATCTTTTCGCCGCAATATTTCTCTCCTCTTCTCTATTTCTATCTCCAATTAGAAAATTTCATTTACATTATACTTGCTGATCTAATCATGTTCTCGTCCTTTAGAGAACGCTGCGTATATTTTTTCTACGCTATGTGCATAAAAGAGAACAATTAAGATAACAGAAAATATCACAAAAAATAAACTTTCAAAAAATAACAATTTACACTCAAAAAAGTGGTATTGCAACCGCAGCAAAAATTTTCTGGGTGCGCAAAATTAACTGAGGTACATAAATGATTAGCAAATACTGTGATATCGCATATGTTTCGCATTTAATCAATCTAAGTGACAGAGACAGAATTTATATCTGAACTGTTTGTGAAATTTAGAAAGAATGTTTTTCTGTGGCGCCTATCCATGTTAAGGCCAATCATACTTGTTATAAAGTTTGGCTGTGGTAGACAGAAAAAATTAGCGGCAAGAAACAAATGAATATATAATCCTCACGTCTAACATATTTGTATAACGCGCTCAATCTATCTAGCTCTTTTAAACAATTTTTCTCAATTTTTCGATGCTGCAGTTATAATTGGCAGTTATATTTCTCACAAAGATCGTTCTGTAGTATCGAAACTCATATTTATCCAATGCAGTGATTAACATTTGGCAATGGGACCTAAATTTTCTAGAAGATATTATTAGAATGTTGCTGCTATAAATTCTATATGTAACAGACAATATTCTAACAGATACAAAAAATAGCGATAA